TCTCAAAACAAGATCAAAATGACTTTTTGGCTGGAAATAAGATTTTAAAACTTGGTAAGATGGACAGTTTTTGCAGTGTTTATACTTCTACTTAAGTAATGAACGTGAATACGTTTGACACGTCTGCTCAGGGGCTATGAAAGGTGTGTGCGAAATCGAACGCCGAACCTCAAATCTTGGGCTTTAAGGAGGCCTTGCTGCAGAACTCAGTGACAAGATGCTGAGCTGCTTCTTCTCTTTTGATTCAAGTGTTCCGGAGCAGGAAAACATCTAAAACAGGCAGGGCGATGTGTCCCGARAAACACTGCATTAAAAAGGTCACCAGTGACAAAGTCTCCTACAGAAAGTATTGTCTTGGGTAAAATACAGAGCATTTTGCTCTTTCGTTCAGGTCACCGAACAATAAATTCAACGAGCTGACTGAGGGAGATAAAAACAGGTGGACAGATGGGGTGAAAAATACAAGACGTTGAGAATATATGTGAAGTCTCATTCAGAGTCAGATAAAAAAAATAGAATGAGCCACGAGGTGAGGTGTTGAGATGAAAGGGAGGGAAGAAAAAAAAAGGAGGATCCTCTGAAGGTTCTCTTGTCCTGTGAGCTTCCTGCTCGTCTCGTCCCACAGCAGCAGGGGATGGAGGCAGGGTAGACGGTGAAATGAGGTGAAACCAGAGAAAAGTCCTAACTTCTCTAAGATGTTGTCCCACTAAGTTTATTCTGGCCCACTTTTTTTGTGGGAAATAAGTTGCTTTTCTCCTTCCCACTGCCCCACCTTGTTTTCATTTGTACATTTTTATCCTCTCCTCTCCTTTCTATGCCGTGACATTTTAAAATGCTTTCTTTCTTTCGGTCTTTATTCCGAGCCTCGTCGCCCTCTCGCTCCGATTCTCCCGCGGTCTCTCCTCTGTCAACATCAGCATTGAGCCAACATTACACCTCCGCCGTGCGCTCTTCCTCTGCCCTCCGTTTACCGGCTTAGCATCTGGCCGCAGATAATACAGAAGCACTGTCACCTTATCTCCTCAGAAGTGACACGCTGGACTCATGCCGCGTCACACGGCGCTTCGTCCTGAGCCTATCTGATTCCTCGACAGAAAATAAAGAAAGTGCCCCGAGTGTAAAACACAGTTCTGGAGCGGTCAGGAAATGCATGTCAGCGCCGTTACGCACGTTTAAAATCGTCTTATCTTCGTCACTTTTCACTGAAAGCATTAGTATAATGGTGGGAAAAAAAAGCTGTAGATGGATTTTTTTTAAAATTTCTTTTTACCTACAGCAGGATGCCAMAGTCTTTCAGAGGAGCTGTATTCACCACACCTTTGTAATAAGCTGCTGTGCAAAATCAGGCAATTCAACTCAGTTCAGTTTGTCTATAAAGTGCCACATCATCCCTGGGTGCTACACAAACAAACTGATTCAGCTTTAATTCCATTGACATACAGCCCAGGTCAGAACAATCTGTTCAAATTCAGCACGTTCCAATTTGAGCAATTATTCTAAAATACAGCGGGTAAAATAAGTATTGAACATGTCAACATTTTTCTCAGTAAATATATTACTAGAGGTGCTAATGACATGAAATTTTCACCAGATGTCGGTAACAACCCAAGTGATCCATACATACAAAGAAATCAAACCATAAATGTCCAGAAATTAAGTTATTTGTAATAATGTGGAATGGCACAGGGAAAAAGTATTTAACACATGAAGAAAGGGAGGTGTAAAAAGGCATGGAAAGCCAAGACACCAGCTGAACTCTCTCAGTAATTAGAAAACAAGCCTGCCCCTTGTCAGTGCAAGTTAATATCAACTGGTTCATTCCCAAATGATGGCCAGGTATCACACAAGAACCATCTGATGATGGGTAAAAGTAAAGAGCTCTCTCAAGACCTTCACAACCTTATTGTTGCAAAGCATAATGATGGCATCGGTTACAGAAGAATGTCTAAACTTCTGAAGGTTCCAGTGAGCACTGTTGGGGCCATAATTCAGAAGTGGTAAGAACATTATTTCACCATAAACCGACCACGACCAGGTGCTCCTCACAAGATTTCTGACAGAGGAGTGAAAAGAATTATCAGAAGAGTTGTCCAAGAGCCAAGGACCACTTTTGGAGAGCTTCAGAAAGACCTGGAATTAGCAGGTATKATTGTTTCAAAGAAAACAATAAGTAATGCACTGAACCACCATGGCCTGTATGCACGCTCACCACGCAAGACTCCACTGCTGAAGAAACAGCATGTTGAAGCTCCTTTAAAGTTTGCTGCACAACATTTAAACAAGCCTGTGTAATACTGGGAGAATATAGTCTGGTCAGATGAGACCAACATTGAACTGTTTTGGATGCCAGAATACACATCATGTTTGGAGGTCAAATGGCACTGCACATCAGCCCAAAAACACCATACCAACAGTGAAGTTTGGAGGTGGGAACATCATGGTGTGGGGCTGTTTTTCAGCATATGGTACTGGCAAACTTCAAATAATTGAAGGAAGGATGAGTGGAAAAATGTACAGAGACATTCTTGATAAAAATCTGCTTCCATCTACCAGGATGATGAAGATGAAACGTGGCTGGACATTTCAGCAAGACAATGAGCCCAAACACAAAGCCAAGGAAACTCTCAGTTGGTTTCAGAGAAAGAAACTAAAGCTGCTGGAATGGCCCAGCCAATCACCTGACCTGAATCCAACAGAAAATCTATGGAAAGAACTAAAGATCAGAGTTCATAGAAGAGGTCCACGAAACCTTCAAGATTTGAAGACTGTTTGTGGAAGAATGGGCCAAAATCACACCTGAGCAATGCATGCCACTAGTTTCTCCATACAGGAGGCKTCTTGAAGCTGTCATTGACAACAAAGGCTTTTGTACAAAGTATTAGATAAATTTCAGGATGTGTGTTCAATACTTTTTCCCTATGTCATTCCACATTATTACAAATAACTTCATTTCTGGACATTTATGGTTTGATTTCTTTGTATGTATGGATCACTTGGGTTGTTACMGACATCTGGTGAAAATTTCATGTCATTAGCACCTCTAGTAATATATTTACTGAGAAAAATGGTGACGTGTTCAATACTTATTTTACCCACTGTATAATACAGTCAAACTTGACAGAATTTGTATTTCTAAAATACCAATTGTAAAATTCTGTCTGGCTGAGAAGTTCTCCCCTTCGATTCAATCCCCCATCCTGGGCAAGGCCTGGAGGACTTCCATTCAGCAGGAAACCAGAAGATGAGATCATAAGACCAGAACCAACTGGCTCTATGCGCTCTTATTCCAAAATCCGAAATAATGGCAACAATAATCATCATGAGGTCTAAACTGCTCTTGTTTGGTTGGTCACATAAAAGTCAGTTATTTGCTGTTGCAGACTTGATTTGGACAAAGATTCGGTCCTTGGAGGCAGTCAAAGGGCAAACTAGGGTTGTCAGAAATGACATAAGGATCAACAGATGACAGAAAAACATAGAGATTAAAAACCAAAACGGGTAATGAGTTTAGTTTGGAACAAGAATTTGGTAGTGAACTTAGTTCCACCTCCAAAAACTGTCTTATAAATTTCTTGATTCAGCCTCATGATTTAACATTAAAAAATAAATGAAAAAAAAATAGAATCTAAAACATGTCCCCTCCCGCTCCCTACCTGCGAGCACAGGTCCGGGGGCTTCCCCCCCATCCCGTGGGGCATCTCTCGGCAGCGCGTGGAGAGGTTGAGGATGGCGGTTGCCGCCATGTGGGCGGCCTCCATATCGTGGCTGTAGTCAAAGCTGCTCTTGCTGCATGTGCTGCTGGCGCTGCTGCCCCCGCCACCCCCGCCTCCTCCCGCGCCCCCTCCGCCGCCTCCACAGCTCAGGCTGCTGTTGCTGCTGCTGGGGGCGTAGGTGCTGGTGGTGCTGCTGGCYGAGCTGGAGTTCTTGCAGTATCGTTTGGCTGCGGGAGGCAAACGGAGGAAATATATTAACAGTTTCTGCCTTTTTTATTCTTTTTTTTTTAAGATTAGCTGTCTGGTCCAAAGTACAATGACAGTTTCTGGCAACAAAAAAACTTTAAGAATCAAACTTCGTAACTCGAGGAGATGAAATTTTTTCTGCACAACCAAAGATTATCTGAATTCCTGAACTAACTCAATCTCAACAAGTATAAAAGAAAGTAGACTTTATAGCGGTGTGTGAATGTATGGTAACGACTCTGTAGTAGTACCATCATATCCTTTCGGGGAGGTGTCCCTTTGCCCGTGAACTTTGGGTGCAATGGCCCTCTTCCCATACACCTGGTGGTTGTTGCTGCCATCAAAGGCGCTGTAGTCGAAGCTGGTCTTGGAGTACTTCTCCAGTTCCTTGGCCAGGTTGGAGCGGGGCGTGCTGGTGGAAACATTGTTCTTGTAACCATACTGTGGATAGTCCAGTTGTTTGACAAAGCACATAGGCCTGGAAAATAAATGACGAGGGGGTGGAAGTTGGACCGAGGCACTGAACATTGCCCAGGGGGGAGAAGAAACTTGGGGATTGGTTAAAAATGTRTGGAATGGAGGGAAGAAGGGAAGGAGTAAACTGCAAGATTGGAGCATGGAGGAGGGTAAAGGGAAATGGAAATGGGGCTGAAGGTGCGGGGATTTTCTTTCTCATCTCGTTCGTGTTTTCTGCTCTGAAATAGGTCAAAAAGAATTTACGCTTCTTTTTATTTCTTTATATTTGTTCATATTCTCTTATCATTTGAAACACATTAATAACCTCAGTTTAACTCTTGTAAGAAAACCGCTGCTGGTGTTCGGTTTGATACGGATATAAAATTCACAATTACTCATGACTTTTCTTTATCACAGCATTTCCATGTCCATCAAAGAAGCTCACGCTGAAAACACATGTTTGCCATAATGAATGAGGCCCATTTTGTTATAATCTAAAGTGATTTGCCTTCAGTGAGCACGGAGATGCACATGAAGCGTCTCAGATGAATTCCCAGGGGGGATGACAAAACTTACACATAAAACAAAAAAAAAAAAACGGGGAGATGCCGAGTCTCAATTATAGAATGTGAAAGAAGAACATAAAATCAAAATCCCACAAGACATGAGCGTTTTTTATATTGTTTGAATCAGTGCATCTTGTCACAACAAATTTCACGACATTCTCAAATTTCATTACACAACGTGGATGAAAGTGTTGAGCAAACGCTACCTTAAGATTCTGTCAGACGCCTGGTTAGACTTGGGGCCGGCGCAGCTCTGATGTTTCTCCTGGGCTTTCGCCAGCTTCTCGGCTGCAGCGATTGGACATCCTGATAGACTGAAATAGAAAAGGGAAAGCTAATTAAACGATGCAGTGGAACACACTTTATATGTAAAAACTTTACACTCGGTGCACATGCTGTAAAACGTTTGGCTTGTTAAAGTGCTTGTCATCCGGTTTGCGGGGCTGAAAAACAGCGACTGTACATCTGCCTGTCAGTCGGTCTGAAAGCACCTGACTGCAGTTCAGAAAATCTCAGCTCAAAATGCAAACTCATTAATTTTCATCACTTTTAACACTTTGGTTAACAACACAGTTGGCAACAGCTTGCATGTTTCTGGTTGAGCAGCTTTAAATGATTCTCAGAATAGATATTCCCATATGGACAAATGGGGATTTTTTTATGTGCATTCCACGGCTTGTTTCATTCCAACACCAGCTAGCTGACAGGACACACACTCACACACACACACATGTGTATTTTCTTGGCGTGCGCACGCCTCATTTCCAGAAAAGTTGGAAAGTTGCAAAAAATTAGAACTTGTACTTTTTTGTTGATCTTCATTTGACAGAAAAGAGAGCTACATTTGCTGACAAATTTAAAACAGCACAATGTAGTTTTCCAGGCTTTCTGAAGGTATTTACAATTTTTTCTTTGGTCTCTGCTGGCCTTTTGACTAGGTTGATAATTTCTAAATCAATGTAATTAAGCAGTTAAGATGCTGAAAGTCAATTTCTTTGTCATTCTTGTAACTTTTCCACAAATATTCTGTAACTACAAGGTCTTGCACAATGCAGGGGTTACACTGTTTTATTTATTGCATCAAGGTAGTAGCTGGACGAATCAACTCTCCATCAGATGATGGCATATGGTGTCACCTATTGGTTCAAAAATGAGCCTCTAGTAAAGTTTTACTGTGTGCAAAACTATTTTTTTTGAGTTTGGTTGTTGTTATCTATGTTGTAACCAATAGGAAATGTTGTTTTTTGTTGTTTATTAAATAAATTTATAAATCAACTAAATCATATTATAGATTTACTTTTTGTTAGATTTTAAAAACATTCCAAACTTTTCTGAAAATGGGATCAGCACACTGCCAAGCTTGTTTTAAGATAATTTCATTCTTTATTGACAACTGACCGACCAAATGTGAGAAAAGTTCATGTCAGTATCTTTAACCCCTATTATTCTCCATCCAATCTGTCTAGTGAGGCRTGTGAAAAGAATGTTTTTTGACAGTGGCCTGCAGCCATTTGTGTTCACGAGCACCTGCCATGATGAGCATGTGCTCGGATGAGCATGTGGAAAAGTGTGAAGTCGTATGCGGAGCTTTTGGATAGCTCTTTCCCGTCGAAGTGAAAGTTTACTGCGCGTGCCTGCTTGGCGCTGCAGTTTGTCACTGAGCACGGTGCGGAGCCGTTCGTTCTGGTTCTCCCAGGTCTGCACCTCTCCTGTCACCCCGGCTGAGTGGCAGCAAGGTGCTAATGGCTGCTGCTATGCCCGAATCCCTGAGCATCTGCTGTGGGTGACACTCTTTTTTTTTTTCTCCACTGTCACCTCGCCCTGTCTGACAGCAGCGCCAAGCAGCTATTTCAGTTCCAACCTCCAAACCTGCACCTGATAGATGCCATTTCTTGCCTTGAACTGATGAATGATTTATGCTTTGGAAAGTGTGACTTGCTGCATTCTAATCAGTCTTGGTTAAATGATGTGATTGTTAAAGGGATCCACGATTAGTTGTGACATTAGACTTTATTTAATAAACATATTTTAACTGTAAAATAAAGACTGCAAGGCTGCTCAGTTTTTATCATTTTAAACTAAAAGTTTAAAAATATATTACACAGATGGGGCCATTTTATTTACACGCAAAGCATTCTGGGTAAATGATGACGTGGATAGGTCATGGTGCGAGGCTGCTGGTGAGCTATATCCACCCTGAAGGTTAATCTTGGACAATATCTGATGATCGACTCTTTTAAATGAAACCAGAGAGTGTTGACAGAGAGGAGAAGGTAGAAATGACTCAGCCTGKAACTGAAAATATRGATGGAGGACAACAGAGCTGCTTCATGGAAGAAGAACCTCAGYTTAGCCTGTTAGCTTTAGCGTTAGCCCCAATGCTATCACCATATATATGTATTAGCTCAGCGCTACACATTCTCCTCTCGTCACTGAGGTCCTCCATCCACATGACAGAGAGGGAAACACAAAAATGACTCAGTCTGCAACTGAAAATATGGATGGAGGACCTCAGTTTAGCTTATTTGTCGTGCTAGCACCGAGCTAATACATATAAGGCAATATAGCATCAGCGCTAGCACAAAGGCTAACACACTAAACTGGGGTTCTTCTTCCATGAAGCAGCTCTGTTGTCCTCCATCTATATTTTCAGTTCCAGGCTGAGTCATTTCTACCTTCTCCTCTCTGTCAACGCTCTCTGGTTTCATTTAAAAGAGTCGATCATCAGATATTGTCCAAGATTAACCTTCAGGGTGGATATAGCTCGCTAGCCCTGAGGACCTATCCACGTCATCGTTTACCCAGAATGCTTTGTGTGTAAATAAAATGGCTCCGTCCATGTTAAAATATGTTTTTAACAATTTACAAACTAAACAGCCTACAGTATTTTTACAGTCTTTGTTTTACAGTTAAAATATATGTTTATCAAATAAAGTCTAATGTTACAACTAATCATGGATCCCTTGAAAAGCTGAAGTACTTTAATAATTTTCAGCATCGGAACACAACAAATAATGCGATGGAAAAGGAAGGGGTTTAATTACAATCACACCGAAAATAAAAAAAAAATTAAAAAAGCAATAATTGGGGGTTGATTAAAAAAAACACCTCAAACTAAATGATCAAAAATAATCCCACAGTGAAAAAATTAAAACAGAAAAATACACGAAGAGGGGGGAAAAAAGAGCTGCACAGTAGCTGAGCTCTTACCTTCTGTGAGAGTTTCTGTTGCTATTGACATGGCCACGTCCCGTGCAGCCAGGTGTAGGACACTTAAGAACATTCTCATACATTGCCACAACTTCGCACAGACAGGAAACAGGAGTGAAAGACAGGGAAGGTTAGGAGACCTTTACAATCACCCATGAGCTCTATTAGTGTGTGAGGAACCTGGCATTATAAACATCATTAAGAAATGAACCCAAATGACCTCTTTTTCATTTTAATGAACACTAGTTTGAAAGGGCAGGCAAGGTTTCCCACCATATTGCTTCCACTTATCCAACTCTTTCAAATTAGTATTCATGGAATGGGGACATTCATGAATAAAAAGATGTCATTTAAGTTTTGACAGGACAAGCAAGAGACGGGAATAGAAGGGAAATTTTGGGCATGCAAACAGCTTGCAATCATGCAAAACTCCAGTCTTGAAAAAAAAAAAAGAAAATCAATGGTGGAAGCAGACAGATGGAAGACAGCTCCTTGATAGAGTGTGCTTTGTTATCATCCGTGCATTGTTAGGGCAGAGAGTGCAGTCTTCAATACCGTTTACCATTAAAACAGTCCATAACAGTCTCAGATCCCCTCGGCAACCAGCCAATTAGATTAATGATCTATGGATGTCCGAGAGGAGCCGTCAGAGCGCAGCAGGCATGGGGGGGAGGAGGAGGAGGAGCCTCAATACCGGTGGCGTGCGGGGCCAAACCCCATCGGCATCAGCTTCATCATTATCACCCCCTTAAACTTTCACCCCTCATCATCCTCCTTTCCCTACATACTAATTGGTCTTCGGCGCAGGTAATTGGACAAAGTCCCCCCAACACACACACTTCAACGTGCCACAAACCAATACATTATGCATTTCCTGCTTTGGCTTGGCCTTCTGCTAAGGGACAGCTCAGAATTAAAGCGCAGCTCAGCGGGCACAAACTAAAACCTAACGAGTGAGGGACAAAACGACGTGTCTGAGTTTGTGTGGATTCCTTCGTTCCAAAACTCCCAGACTTCAAAGATCTGTGGTTAAAGTCTGAGAAGGACTGCATCATTTGTGGGCTGGCACTGGCACGTTATATCACAGGAAGTCAAACTGAAGAAGATCCAGTCTTGCTTTATCTCTGCTGCTGTGTGGTAAAACTGAATGTAGATAAAGCAATGACTCTGGTTATACAGTAATTGTAGGGKTTTTTTTTCCTTCTTTGTTTGACTTTTGGCTTTCAGAATGTTCATGTTTTGAGCATTAACTACCGTATTTATTCGTGTATAATGCGATCTCATGTATAATACGACCCCCCTTTTTTGAGCTTAATAAGCATAAAAAATTTAATCCTCAAACTTTCATACAGACTTCTAGATTTTTCAGCCTTTGCAGTCTTTATACATATCAGTAAAATGATCATTGGACTGTTCATTTTATTTTAACAACATATGTACTAAAAGGTATTTTGACAACAAATATATATCAGCTGTAGCAGCAAATTCTGGCATTTTACACATAGTCCACCAGGAGGCGCCAACACAAAAGTCAGAGACTTCATATGAGATTTGGACCATCTTGTGGGGGAAAAGCAGATTACTTTCTAATCGCGAGCGCCCCCTCTGGTGGGGAAACGTTTTTTCAGGGATACAAAMYTTTTCAGAACACCGGTAGATGGCAGCCATTACAGACGAACGTGTTTGTTGTTCGAGGAGCGGCCGGTCACATGCTGATGTCATTAGTTCGTTATCATTACTAAGGTGCAGGAATACTCGCCCCACCCTTTTTTTTCACATCGTGTCTCCTGCCTGGATCTGTTATTATCTCGCTCTGAAGCACGGAGGAGTGTCAGAGGTAAGCTCGTTCCAACTGCTTTTTATGATGCGGTCTCATTTCCGGACTCAATAATTTTGTGAATGAAGCCGATATTTCAGTTAAAATACTTAAGTAAAAATATTTATCCGAGTATAGTACTACCCCACCCAACTTTATGGATGATTTTATGGATTTATTTTTACGTATTATACTTGAATAAATACGGTAGCTTTCGTTTACCTTTATTTAACCAGGCAAATCCTATTTTACAAGGGAGGCATGGACCTGAAGGCTGTACATATTTTAGGTCTGTGGAGAGGAAACAGGAGTACGTGGAGAAAACCTACAGATGCACAAGGAGAACATGTAAACTCCACACAGAAAGAGCCCAGGTCTGAAGCAGGGATCAAACCCAGGACCTTCTTGCTGTGAGGCATCAGTGCTAACTACTGAGCTGTTGTGGTGCTAGAAACACTTTTAATAGATTCTACATTTTACAAGTTTTCATTTAAACCCCCCTAGGCTGGCCTTCAACAAGAAAACACACAAACTATTTAGTTTAAGAGCACATTTAGGGAGTGTTTGAATTCAAAACAAAACAATTTATTGGATATACAAGGAGAAATTTGATCTCCAAAGTGCTTATAAATATTTTTGGTAGTATTTCCCTAAAGTTCTTTTAAATATTTCCTATTTTAGTTACAAACTTAAAAATTACTTATTTCAGAATATTTTATTCTACATAAATACACATTTTGAGTAACCTCGAACATGTTCTGTATTTTTCACAGAAACACTAKATGTACAGTTGTATATGAGCTCAAAATGTATTTGTTTTTGAATAATTAGGTGCAATTGAAATTTCACATTTTCCCCAATTTATTTTATCATTTCATTCGGATAAAATAAAAAAAAGATTTTAACAATTTACAGAATAAAACAAGCAGTGGTTTATTTGCACTTGTTTTTTTTATCTATATATATCCTGACTTGGAAAATACTAAGATTTTTCTTTTCACTTTTCTTGCTTCATCTGTTCATTAGAGAACTGAATCAAAAATCCAGCAAGTCAGAACTAATCATATACATCCTTTCTTTATGAAATGAGCAAAAAGGAAGAGGAAAAAAATGAAACAGACCTAATTTTCACGTAATTTTTCATCAAAATGATTGGGCTGAACTGYATGATTTCCCAATTACATAAAGTCACTGCATTAATAATACATTGTTCATTCAGTACAGTAAATGTGATAACGAAAGAGAGAAACTTCAGAATATCCTGCAGGCCGTCACATGGCTGACTTATTTTCCTAAAACTCGCCTCATGATGGTCAAATGCTCCGAAGATCTGTGAATTTCAACCATAAATATCTTTTTGTCTTAGGAGGAGAAAAACTGAAGATGATGTCACTTTTTGATTATTCTAGCAAGCCTTRGTACCTCATCTCCTGTAAGTCAATTTGAAACAGCTGAGGAATATCATGTTAACAATCTCCAGCAACAATCAATACAAGAAATTCCAGAGTTCCATTTAGGATCTCTTAATCCTGGACAGAAGCTCAGAGTCAAGACGAGCTTGTCTCAGGTCATGAACCTCTGCATGGACGACACTAATTAGTCATACTGCAGCTACTTTTTAAGAAGCACACCATTAATAGTAAATATATTTTTGTCAAAACTGCATTTTGTTCTGACTGGTGTCTGGAGTGCAGCTGATCAGAACTGGATTCCCATACAGTTAATGAAAAATGTAAACAAGGTGAGTTTGTGAGGGGTRAGCGAGACTGAATATCTGGTCTGAATCCTCTAAAGGGAAAACTCATTTTTCATTCAAGGCTAACGTTTATGGCCACCTCTCTTGATCTGTGGCTTACAGATATGAGAAYGTCTTTCCATTCAACAGAATTTAATTGAGCAAGGCATACAAATAAATGAACAGGATTTCTGCCATGGATAACTGAAGCACGCTCAGTGTTATCAAGGTCTGCGAGCATTTTCAAGTCTCTTGAAAATAAAAAAATATGTATATACTCTATTAAAAATGAAAAAGGTGCACAAATTAATGGAAAATGAGGCCTTTCACACCTCCCCCCCAATTCCCACATGCACTGACATGCTGTGAAGGAGCATGCAACCCATCCAGTGATCCCTTTTACAATGAAAAAATAAACTTGAATTAGATTATCATATTCTGTCCATCACTGTCAGTCAGTGCAGCTGTATCATGCAGTCAAGTAAGTCCACAACTGACAGCTCTTGACCATCCTGTCAAGTGCTGCATTCATTACCAAGGCCTCATTTCAAACCTCATCAACACAACATACTAAGTATACAGTCAGAAAGAAAAAAATCACGGCCCTCTGCAAAAGATCACAAGAGTAGCTGCGACCCGTCTGACCCCGTACAACAACAGCACACGGCACAAAGGACGACGCACGGCAGCACACATGCAAATTCCTCAACATCAAAGGACAATGACGCCAGATGTTTAGTATAAAACCAGCGTTTGGCTGGCGTGTGACCGATATACTCACTTTCTGGTGGCACCCTGTCTTTGTGGGGACAACCAGACAGGCTGCGATGGTGGGGGTACAGGCCCGTCACGTGACCCGTGCCGTCACAGCCGGGCGTCGGACACCTGCTTTCCTTCTTGTCTGCACGTGAAGCATCTGCGAGCAGAAACAGGAAGATGATACCTGTCCATAAACCTTTGGATGCTTCAGAGCTAACGAATGTGTTTTTTTTAAACTAATAACTAAATTGTCCATACATGTTCAGATTAAAATCTGTTTAATTTGGTTAAAAAAAAGAGTAAATTTTTAAAGATATGTAGGCCCAGTCATAAACTCTTAAAGGGTTGCATTTCCCAAAACCCTAACATATGTGGTAGAACCACTGTGTTTCCCTATAGGCTACTACTTTAAGTAAATTTTAAGATAAAAGCAAAGTTGCAGCATTTGATAAAATAAATGCATGCTTACAAAACTCCTGAAATAAAAAAAAAAAAAGAATTGAGCAATAGTTGAAGCACTGGCATACTCGCCTTAACTTTTGCCTTAAATATTTCTTAAGAAAATGAATTAGGACCAATTATCAAAATCAGAATCAAGCTTTATGGGCCATTTACATACATATACAAGGAATTTGCTTTTGGTTGTGGTAGCCCAGAGTGCATGTAAGAACATATAGAATTACACTGAATATATATTTTAAATATATTGAATTATAGAGATGGTTATACCATTATAAACTAAACTTGTAGAGAAACTGTAAAAACATTTTGGCTAAACTGCCTATAAAAAATGTGTGGTTTTACTTAAGACTACAATGATTAAAATAAGTGGTTTTAAATAAAACAACAAAATCTAAATCAAGACCAAATAGCAAAATTCACAAACATAACGTTTTTTTTAATTATTTTTTTTCCACAAGGTCTTTCATAGGATTCTAGCTAGAGGTCAATGTAGAAATTGTTTTCCAACCCTTTCTACATTCAKCTTTCTTTCCATTTTTTTCATTTTATTAAAGAACTCCCAGCTTTATGAGTGCAGTGCTCCCTTTAAACCAAATCAACTCCCTTGACCTTTGAATCCAAACACATGCGAAGATAAATTTCTTTTTATTTACACGCTTTTCAAGCACACTTTAAAAAAATAAAAATTAAAAAATAAAAAACAAGATAAAAAACAGGCTAAGACAAAGAAGCAATTGTTGCTTTGCTGACAAGTTTTTCATGAGGTTTATTTACAGCAACAGCATTGTAAAGAGCTCAAAAATGTCAAATTTTTAAGAGTTTATTTTTCTCAAAACCCTTGTTGCAACCCCTGGCCTTTTAGCTGTGTTTATGGCCTTCAAAACGAAGTTATTCATCAAACAGTTTACATTCAGATGAAATTATTTAACACTTGTCTGCATTAAAACCACCCCAAGTTTCACATCACAGCATATTGAGCTGACAGATAGGTTCTAAAGAGCAAACACAGATCRTCCTTCTCTTTCATAGACCTGGATCTCCTGTTTCCTTTAAATCATTCAGCTTTGATTAAAAAAACTGTTGCTCACAAGCATTGTTTCTCAAAACTATTCACTTTTAAAATGCTTTGACCATCAAACACATTGATACTTACAGTAAATCTGACATTACATGCAAAAAATATAAATTAGATAATGTGTTTCAAGAGGTTTCAAGAGAAAAATGATTCAAGTTCACGTGAGTGACTGTATCAGCAGATAGGATTTACGATATTGACCTGGAAGAGTGGGTTTATCTTACAGCCCAGAAAGACAGACCACTGATTAAAGTTTCAAAGACCAAGGTAACTCAGCTCCAGCTAAAGGCAACCCAAAGAGACCTTTGAATGGGGTAGTGGGTGCAACAAGAAAAAAATAATTGAGTGAAGTAGGACTAAGGGTTCAAAAAGTACAAAACTAAGAGGTGGCAATAGGGCACACCTAATCATACATTTACAAATGAGTCACCAAGCGAAATTCCATGTCTCATTCATCAGAAAAGAAGCACCTCATTATCCTTTGTGGCTCTCATCCATCTATGTCACATTAGGAGCATATGAGTTTAGAATAAAATTGCTATGTCATGTCTAGCTCTTTTGTCTGGCACCAGTACAATCAAGCGGGAAAATTTCCTGTTGATGAAGAACTTGGTCTGCATGTAAAATCTTAGTAGCCTTTTTTTAATGGCTTTGTTCAAGGCACATCATTATATTCTCTGTTAATGTTTCAACAGTATGTTGGAAATAATGCTCCATTTCCATACATGTGAGCGCACGCAGACATGATGCCCGTGCATTCTGCGTGCAACGCTTCTATTGTGGAGAGCGGAGGCAGCCAAGTGGAAGGCATATTAGAAAGCAGGGGATATTGATTGTGGCTGGGGACGGTCTGCGCTTTGCATAGCAAATGGCCCCCATTACCATACCATCTCTGGATAATTAATGTGCAGTCAGTGGGCCTGTCGTTCGTTATCGGTCATTCTGATACTGTTCAATTTTCATCTCAACCTCGCGCTTCTCTCAGGGAGCACCGCTCTTCCCTGAGCTCGCTCCCTTGCCGTGCTGTTTTATAAATCACACACAAAAACCCTGGTCAACGAGCGTCTGCAACCATCTCGCCCGAGGAAAGATGCTATCGCCATGCAACCGCCTTGCGTCCTCTCATTATTCCAACATTAGCCAGACACAAAGGCCATGGAAGGCTCTTGAAATTAGCATTTGTGTGGCATTTAAGTAGCAGTATAAACCTGCTGTGAGTTGTGTGGCATTTGTGGTGTAATATCAACCTACTGTGAACTGCCTTGGTCATATGTGTTTCTCTCATCTGATATCTTCGTTATGAGTGAAAACAATTATTCTCAGTTAAGTCTGCACATTAAGGAGTGAATTATGGGAGTGTCCTGATGCATCTCAGTAATCCAGGTAGAAAAAAATTGAAAAGAAAAAAATAAGTAGGTCCTCTGGATGGGTTCTTCTTTAGTGAAACGTTTCATCTCTCCTCCAAGAGACCTTCAGTCTGAGGAGTTTCAAGTGAAACTCAGCCTTATAAGCACTGCCTCCACATGGACAAACAGGTTAGTCACATGCAAAAGAGGGCCATTGCCTAACAATAGGCTTGATTAGCTCTATTTAGTCACATGCAAAAGAGGGCCATTGCCTAACAATAGGCTTGATTAGCTCTATTGTTCATAGAGGGTCATGTGCCCCATCACCTGACTTATTGGTTTGGATGTGGTTCTTTAGTGTCGTGTTATGTGTATGTAGTGAGGGCAAGCAGGGTTCAACATACTCTTGTTCTTGTCTCTTTCCCTCTTTGTGTTGGGTATCATTGGGGCCCTGATTCACACCTTTTTCTCACAGGGGGCTGAGTTATAACTTGCAATAACAGCAAATTATGGGAGGTTTGTTACAAGTCAACAACACTGTATGATCATTTCCGCTGATGGTGAAGTGCACTTTTGTTTCAATGGAAATGATAATTATCTGCTAAAAAGTAAAAACTTTCTTGTTACTGAACAAGTCCTTCCTAAAGACAGAGGACCTCTATTTTATAGTTTCTTTTCCCAAGTGCTTGTGTAGGTTTAAAAATAGGCAGCTTTACCCCAAGCTGCATCACAGGGATGAGATTTGCGGTCCTAACAGGCCGTGCAGATTGCCATTACTTATGCCTGACAAGTCTACCCTCTGATGTTTCCATGCTGGCCTATTTTAACAACATAAGCTGCTGCTGCCGCTCACGCTGCAACCGAGATGTGAATTTCCAAACTGGCTGAAAAAGCTTGTCCTGGGGTATTATTGAGGTTCCCAGAATACATGTGGGCTGTCTAGTCTCTGGTGCAGGGCGGATGAAACACAGAAACATAAACTGGCGGAAAGACATTTTACCTGAGCTTGTCAAATGAGGTAAACACATCTACACGTGTGTGGATATACTGTAGTTTCCAATAAAATCTAAGTGTGACACGGAGTGTGTCCAGGACAGAAAGCACAACTCACCTTTATGGAAGAAAGGCTTCTTCATACCATCAGGAAGCCGGGCTTTACGTTCAACACCGTAGCCATGCCGTGGGCCRTGGTCGTCGTGGGTGTACCTCACTCCCTCTCTTCTCGCTGCCTCAGCTGCCATTTTATCCCTCATTGCCTTGGCGCGTTCTGACTCTAGTGCAATTGCTTTCTCCAGCAGAGACAGGTTTCCCTTCGTCATGTCAAACACCTCCTCCGATCGGTCCGATGTCACCGAGGCTGTGTCTTCATCGAAATCTCTGTGGCTGTTGGTGTGATACCGTTCGTCGTGTATACAACTAGAGAAGGCCTTGGAGCGTGGGCTCAGCTGCTCCTCAAGCTTCATGAGATTGTCCATGTCGGAATAGTTCCTGTCAAGTGTCCGCCTGTCATCTTGACTATTGTGAAAATCTCCATAACCGTGATGCTGGGGCTGCTGATTGGGGTCCCCGCATGAGAAATGATTTTGCTGGGATGGTCCGTTTCGATCGATGGGCTTTGTTTCACTTAGTTTCCGAGCCAAATCAAAGCATTGGTTCCTTAGGCACTCCAGACTGCTTAGACAGACTTCCTCGTCACTGTTTTCTATTTGTCCATTACTGGTGGTCCTAATTTGTCCATTGCCACCATTGTGTGTGTTGCCCCCATTGTGGGAGCAGCCAGTCTCATCCCCAATCCCAACTGTACTGTTTGGAAACTCCTGCCCATCTAAGCTGTCAGACAGAACAGCACCGTGACCCTGTGCCAGCAGTTTAAGGGAGTCCACTGTTTCCCGAACCACATCGCTGTCGACGTCCAAAGTCAGATCTTCCCGCTGCCTTTCGTCTCCTTCGTCATCCTCCTCCTCTTCCTCCTCCTCCTCCTCCTCTTCTTCTTCATCATCCTCTTCCTCGTCTTCCTCCTCGTCTTCCTCCTCATCCTCCGCGCTGTTGGACGAGTTGCTGTTCATCTCGGACTCGGTCATGGCGCGGTTGGCGGCGTCCTCAGCGATCTTGCCCAGGTTTAGGAGGGACTTGGCCACGAGCTCGTCGTAGTTTTCGTACTCGTCGTTGTTGTTGTCGTCCTTCTCCGCCACGGGGCCAGACTTTCCGCTGCCATCGCCGCCTCCTCTGCCACTGTTCTCCTCGCCCCCCTCGCCAGTGCTCATCTGATCGTCCTCTGCCGGAGAAAAAGAACAAACGTCTTGTAATTCCATTTTCGTCATTCCATTTTACTGGTAAATCAGATTTATGGGCTTGGTCCATCTAAATTGGATAAGGAACTCTTGCTTCTCCCTAATAATTTACTTTGAGAGTCTTAACAGCAGCTTGTGTTCTGAATTGTGAATCACTGCAGGAAGTTAAATTTAGTGGTTTGGGAGAGTCATAAAGCGAGATGCCCTATGAATAAAAGAACTAGAGTCTTCGAAAAGACTGGTTTTAACATTAAATCCCTTCATTGTTTTAGATATACATTTCCAAATGTTAATAAATACAGTAAAAAGTTTCAAATGAATTCAAAACCCTGATTAAAAGCGCTTTTTCAGAACCTAAAATCTGAGCAATAATTTGATGCTCTGTCTGTAATATGATGAACTCCAGTCAGCAGCTATTCATCATTTGCTTGTGAAGTTCTTTTTTTCATTAAATCATCAGTATCTTTAGAATTCCTTTCAGTGCCTAATTGATTCTGACAGACTGCAAAAGGTTACTGAACCTCTTCTGTCAGTAATTTCAAGCACTCACTCCTGGAGCACTTCCAATCTCTCCTTTCACATTTCCGCCCTGAGCCGCCGAGAGCACATTGCTCATATTGGCGTCACATTTGCCACTTACATTCCTGTGGAGAAAATGCACCCGGAGGGCCACTCACACACACAGGGATAAGGAATGAGCGTTTTCATCATTTTGGTAGGGAACAAGCAACCTCCAAGACTGATAAAAACGAACCAAAAAGCACGCAAACTATTAGTCATTGGATATCAATTTTCGCTAAACTGAAAAACATCTAAAAGTACATCTAAAACAATTATTTAAATTAGTTTTGAAGAAATATTTCCCCACAGCTCACAACAAAGACGTACTTCACTCATGTACTGTGCACATACACTGTTACACACTTCAAACTAATGCGAGTAACACAGTATTACTGCTTGGCAGGAGAGAGCTTTAGAGCGGGAAGAGGGAACAGTCACGAATGACCAAGCACATATTTTGACAGCAGAAAGGCTTCTTACAGCAACCTCCTGCACCAGGGGTTTAATTTTTGATGGTGTGAAACATGGCACAGGGAAGCAATTTGAAGAGCAATCAAGGTACACAAAAGGGATATGGAAGCGAAACAGATTAAGGAAGGAACAGAGGGACTGCCCTACGCTGAACTGGCGTCGGATTAGCAACAATAGGTGTGCACGCTGCAGAGAAACACAGAAAAGCTACAGACTTTCACCTGTAGATTGGAATCTACCTGAAAGCTATTGAGTGTGAAAGGAAACTTCGACAATGATGCGTATGGAAAGAGTTTTCATTTTTCATTTTCTTAAGGAAAAATATGGAAAATCCAAATGCTGCGACTCCAATATTCATGATTGTATWGCTCAACACAGAGAGGGATTTTCAGGATTTATACTAGCAACAACTGTGCTTGTATAACACTTATCAAAAGCAGAAGGTAATAACCAGCTACACATAGAAACAGAGACAATGGCGGGTCAACGAGATAGCGGCGTGGTCACAGCGTGAGGAATAAGACCTTGGCCCCGAGCTGTAATGAACACCAGTCTGCAGAGATGTTTTTGCATGTCTGCAAGAAAAATAATAAAATAAAATAAGAACGTGGCTGCTGAGATGCCACATCAACACTTTGGGAGGATAGAGCTGCGCGCCAAACACGGTTAACACGCTCCTCTCTCAGAGCTTCATTCTTAATTGGACTTGAAGGCACTGTCAGGTCCAATCGTGATGCGTGGGTGGAACGCCAAATCTGCTGGAGAAAAACCTGCCAGATCTGGTGTTTGGCGCAACACAGGGGGAAGGTGGGGGGGTAACATACGGGGCAGAAGTTTCTCAAATCCCAGTCCCAAAACTAGGTAGTATTTTGGATCGCGTCTTTAAAAGAAACATATTTAAGTTAGACTGCCAACAGCTTCCATGGTTCGAAGATTTTAAAATAATTTAGAAATCTGAAAATAAAAATAATATATTTTTTTGATGTTAGAAATTTGATAGAGGTCCATCATTAGTGCAGTTTAGCTTTAATGAGTTTTAATGAGACAAAAGTCCGTTTTTTCAGAGTCTAATTATATTTAAAAACACTTGGAAAAAACAATGTTTTTTCTGTATGTTTTTACTTCCAGTTTAATCAATAAAAGACTCGTTTTTTTAAAGAAACAGTTTTCTATGCAACATAGACCACATACCTACAACTAATATGACATTTAAAATATGTGAGAAAGTGACAATTTTTTTAGACATAAAYGGTATCCAGTGTCTGACCCCAAGTTATGCTGGAAGCCATACAAATTAACCGGGTTGGTTTTAGCTCCATTTACATATTTAAAGGAAAGTTATGTCACAAATGTACACAAAAAATAAAAGAAAAAATGGGTGTAATTATCAATATTAATAATAATAATAATGATGGAGTATTAAAATCTTCACCACCATCTCTTAAAAACAAATGTAAGAACAAACCTTAAATATTAAAGGTAATACTTWGTAATGAATATATGTTAACTTCTAGTCTAACTTTTTGCAACAGTTTTATGTTAAACTTTTTAACGTAAAATTTCATTGTGCATTTCATAACCAGATGAGGAGAAAGTGCTCTCACCTTGCCCTTGATTATGCTCTCCTTCCTCCTCCTCCTCCTCCTCCCCCTCGTCATAGTCCACATCCTCTATTGCCTCCTCCTCCTCCTCTGCCTCCTCCACCCTCACTTCATCACCTTCCTCCTCTTCCTCCTGCTCCACCTCCACCTCCTCCTCCTCTTCTTCTCCATCTCCTCTGTCCTCCTCCTCGCCGTCTTCCTGCTCCATTTGCTCCACATTATAGTCCATGTAGCCTTCCACATCTTCCTCTTCCTCCTCCACTTCCCCCTCCTCCTCTATGGCTCCCTCCTCTTCCTCTTCCTCCCTGTCATCCATCTCCTCCGTCCCGTCAGTCTCATAGCACTCCTCCATCGTGGAATTGTCCATGTCATCAAGGTAGGTGCTCCTCTTGGGCGACGTTTCTAGGGTTTGTCTGTCTAGACTCTTCCTCTTTTTGGCCAGTGGGCAGCCGTACACACTACAGTGGAGAGAGAAGAGGGCAGCTGTTAGGCACGAGCATTACCTGCCCATAAATGTTAATGTTCATTTCTATTAATGACTCTTTGTTAAAGTGCTGCAGTTTATTAACTAAATTGAAAAGATCACCGCGGAACACGGGAGAACACTGCGAGGAAAGCGGCGTCTCTCAGGTTCTGCTGGAACAAAAAAAAAAAAAAAATCGGACTCCACCAACTTTAATTAGACGTGCTCATTAACGATTGAGCAATGATAAAATGCTCCATTTCTTCCAGAAAGTAGTTACAAAAAGAGTCAAATCTCTGCCTCCGAATGAAACAAAGCGAAGATTTTAGCATCAATTTGCTCTTCGGGCAAAAGAAAATCACAATGCGTGCCTTGCAAAAAGCCTCCAAACTGATACACACCTGAAAGTGAGAGCGGCAAAAACACAACAGCTTGTCTGGAATTAACTGAAAGTGGGAACAAACCTGCTGCCTGAAAATTGAATCTTACTAAGGCAGCTCAGGTTTTAATGTATTCTTTGGCTCTCCTCAGCACCGGGGGGACAGATCCTAATCTGATAATCTGATAATCTGTGTATTTGCTCAGGCTATTGATCACAGGAGCTTATTCCATTTGATTCATCAAATCTCACAGACTCCCGAAGCCTGCGTGTGATTTGTGAATGCCCTCTCACAGTCAGTATTATGAGCATTCTGGCCATCAAATAAACATTGATGCCGGAGTGTAAGAGAGCCACACACACACTCTGGGCATGTTCACTCAGCTATGAAATATCCCCAGTTCTCTTTTTTTACAACCTCTGGATGTTTTCTTTTGATCTGCACTATTCTAAGTAAAAGTCTATATGAATAAATAGCACAAAAAATGTGAGCAAGAGTTAAAAAAAAGTTGTTTGCCACATGCTGCTTCTTTTTCTGTGTTTTTCATGTCACTGTGCACCACTATTCAATATCCTATCCATCCTCTCACACACACACTTCCATCAGTCTGGCAGGCTAAATCTTACCCAGCCCAGGGATTCCTTAATGGTCTGACCCCCTGCACCACCCGCGATCAGGGGCCTCATTTCATTAATCTGAGCCTACATGGAAACTCATTCCCTGCCTGACAACCTCTCCCCCCGGGCAGTGAGAGGGTCTGCGGGACAGTGAGGGAGGGAAGGTTGCGCTGCGGCACAGTGATCAATAGTGCTTGTGACCAAACATCTCGAAAGCACATTAAAATGCCACTCATCTTGGCTGCTCTGTTCCAAGGCCCTCTCCAAATAAATCAAAGGCCGGTCCCAGCAGGCTACTGGCTGCCAGTGCAGGAGAGAAGTGGTGTGAAAGGTAGATAGACRCAGGTTCTCACCTTTTTCCCCCTATTGCTTTGTAATCTGACTTCGGATTTTTCTCTTTTTTTTTCTTTTAAACAATAAAACAATCTCAAGGCAACATTTCCTGTCAAACTTTGAGCTGTGGCGTCATTTCTTATTGGCTTACAGGTCTTAATGCAAAGACCCACACCTGAATTCCTAATCGYTGCAGCATAAGCCAGGGGAAGGCACATAACAGATGATGGGCTGTGCGTTTTCATGAAAGGAAGTGGTTTTCATCATTTGGGGTAGAAACAAATGAGATGCCTTTTGGCTTTGAGTTCTGCTGAAAATTAGTGGCACAAATATTTGAATGAAAGCACCCGCTCACACTGAATGCAAATGCACACACACCAACTTTAAACCTCCTCTTGTCCCTGAGCTGTCATGGTTGTTGCAACACTCTGAGCGGCGTGTGTTTTCCCTGCTCTCCTCCCAAAGCTCCACCATAAAGCTGCAGGAAGCCTCCACAGCTTCAGCTTCCCACATTCTCAAGCTCTGTCGCCGAGTGACCTTGGCTGCAGCATTCATCATCGCCGGCTCTCCATCCCACTCACTGCACTTAGCAATTAAAATTCCAGAAATAATTAAGTGGCATGGAGAAAAAAAAAGACCAAATGTGAGGAGAAAGGACAGCAATGAGAAAATACAGCACCATTCTGAGTTTCCCTTCTGCTTTGTCCTCTGGCAGCAAGACAAAATCCTCGAAGAGGTGTGTGCAGAATGGGAGGTCGCAATCCAAGAAGAAAAGAGCTTCAGATCACAAAAAGACCACTTGATTTTTTTTATAGAGTGGTCATCCTTAACATTACAAGATGGAACAAATTCTATTACAGTGCGAACAAGAGGCCCCTTAATGCAGAATGACTCCTTCTAGAGGCATTGTGCTGAAAGGGCTCCCGTTCCCGGAGCATTAACGTGAGGCAGAGGAAAGGAGTGGCAGGAGACGGAGAGCTCCTGTTTGGCTAATTTCAGTCGACAGTTGAGCGACTGCTGGAATGCGACAGCATTCCACGGTGCCTTTATTAGGAGTCATATTAGCGGCTGTTCACAGCGGGGGCAAAAGCTTTAGCCAGTCATTAGCATCACACACTATTTGTCTCCCTGACGCAGGGATGAAGGTGCTGTTGCTGTTTTCCCCTGCTTCCTCTTTCCTTTGCCATCTCCTTCTCCCCTCCTCTTCTTTTCCCAGCCATCAAACCCTCACTTGCCTCTTTTTCTTCCATTCATCCACTCCCTCAACATTTATTTGAGCCCATTTTACATTTTTTAACATGAATTTATGTCTTCATTACTATTTSCCACTTCCTTTCCCATTTTCTCCCACAGTGCTGCTCCCCTCATCCCACTTTTGTCTCCAAMGAGCACACTGGAGATGGAGGGAACGCACCACCTCTGACTGTGCTCCCTATCCAGCAGGAGGATCTATAGACACGTGTGGCAGAGCCCCGTCTCCATGGTGATACCCTCCAGAAATCCACGAGGGATTCGCCATCCTCGCAGCCAGCCAGCAAGGAAAAATGAGAGAGAAAGGCAGGCAGGGAGAGGAAAATGAGGGGTGGGGAGGAAAATTAGAGGCTATAGGAGGCGAGACAGATGGGAGAATATATGTTTTTTTGTGCATTTTTTTGTGCAGGCCTCCATTGTGTGTGCAGAAAACTGGGAAACATAGGGGAGGCAAAAAAGAAAAGGCTGGTTTTGTGTGTGAAAGAGGAGAGAGGATCATTTCAGAGCTGTCAGGCTTCTCCTGCTAGCAGAGGAGAACAAAAGACAGTGTCTTGGTGCAGGAGGCTCAGCACATGGCAGACGCTGCAATTTGGGGCGTTTGTTGGCGGCTCAGGCTCCAGCTTGGATAKCTGCTGCTTTGGCCCATTCACACACTCACACACACACGTATACATACATCCGGATGACTGTCAGGCTGTCCTAAAACTCATAAAATAGAACTTCATAGCCATGGTCTTGAAATAATCCCCACTGTTCATGGAACTTAACAGATTGCTCGTGCAAGTGGGTTTTTATGTGCTGCACACGTGGTTTTATAGAAGTCTTTATATCACGAGCAACGTTTAGTAAATTAGATTACAAAATTTCAAYCCAATTTAACAAAGCATGTCAGATTTTTGACATTATATTAGTTTATTTCCTTATTTCTGCCAATATTTTGTCAAAATATTGGCAGAATTACTCACAAAAAAACAAAACAAAACACTGAATTCATTGTTCACACAAATTACAAGGTTACAAAGCAGAGATTCCAGCATTTAGCTTCTATTTATATCAGTCCAAATCATTATGTGCTTAATTTTACCACCTTTTTACCACTCTTTCAAATCAAAGGCCATCTATTTGATAAAGAAAATAACATAAAAGAAAATGTTTTAATTTAGAAGATTAAAGACAGAACAAAACAAATCACCGATGCTTCGATTATTTTAATTTTACAAGAAATCAAAAAAGCATCCCTTTTTTTTGGTAATATGTAGAAGATGAGACATGTAGAGACACTGTAGAGCATATTTTGTCTCATTGACTTACAGGGGTTCGACAATGAAATTGAAACACCTGGTTTTAGACCATAACTTCCCTTTCAGACAGCTTCCTCTTGCGTCCACAGTTAATCCTGTTGGATRTRGTTGGTCCTTCTTGGTGGTATGCTGACATTACCCTGGATACAGTGGCTCTTGATACATCACAAAGACTTGCTCTCTTGGTCACAGAAGCACCAACAAGACGTGCACCAACAATTTGTCATCTTTTGAACTCTGGTATGTCACCCATAATGTTGTGTGCATTGCAATATTTTGAGCAAAACTGTGCTCTTACCCTGCTAATTGAACCTTCACACTCTGCTCTTACTGGTGCAATGTGCAGTTAATGAAGATTGGCCACCAGGCTGGTCCAATTTAGCCATGAAACCTCCCACACTAAAATGACAGGTGTTTCAGTTTCATTGTCCAACACCACTTCCCAAATAAATCATCTTAGGCGTTTGGGTGGCACATGTTGCCATCTTTATCAGTTTTCACTGTACTGATATATTCAAGTTAATAAAAAATATTTTATTTAAACAATATTTAAATTGTTCTGATCTGTCAAAATGGATTCAGTGAGAAGCATGGTTTGTGTATTTGAAAAATGCAAAAAGCAGAATATTGATAAATGTATCAAACAGGCTATTTTACATAATTTTCAAGTGGAAGTCCTGAGCAGCAGAGCTCATCGAGGAACTGATTCTGGGATGTAATGTGGCTATCTGTCATCCTGCAGCTAAAATCACTCCTGGATTAGCCAGGTAAGGAGTCTTTCCACCAGCGTAATGACTTCAATCAATCACCTCGACTCACAGACTCACACAGTGAAGCCAGCTAGTTAGCTGCTAGCCCATCAGCCATTTTAAAGGAGGACTTCCTTCCTCTTTGCTTTTCCATCTGTCTGCAGAAGCAACAGCGGAGGCTGTCAGTAGCTGCTTGTCAACATTACCTGATGAGGGGATGGAGGTTTATTTATGAAAAACATGCTCCAGGTGAAAAATAATTTCCAATTTGATATTTCAATCTAATATAAATCATTAAATATATATATAAACAGTGGGTAAAATAAGTATTGAACACGTCACCATTTTTCTCAGTAAATATATT